TAAGTTATTTTTTTACTTCAGTTGCTATCATCTCAGCCTGACTTCCTCCAAATTAGCCTACTGCTTATGGGGTGGAGGTGGGGGTTGCTCTTCCTGTCTCCCAGCCTGCACACTGGCTAGTTCATGAGAAGTTGGGGTTTGGCTTCTTGATTCTCATCCTCCTCCCCATGGTGGCTGTCTCTGATTCACTGGAAGGCATGGTTTTCTTTCTTGATTCTCTTCCTGTTCCCTGTGGAGGCTACCTTTGGTTCATGGGAAAGTATGATTTGGCTTCTTGATTTTCTTCCTGTTCCATATGGTGGCTGCTCCTGGCTCACAGGAAGGCATGATTTGGCTTCTTGATTCTTTTTTCATTCCCTCTGAATTCTTTTCCTGAGTGATCTTTCCAGGTCTTGAGCTGACTACCACATGGACCCGTCTCCCAGGAGCTCCAAACTACAACTAGCTTCTGACAGCTCTATCTTCTTGCTCTCTGTAACCGGAATAGCTAAGGGATGCCTGCCTGGCTCCCAGCTCCCCCCAGCGGCTGGCATCTAGATAGCTTTATTAGCTGGCCACAGGAGTTTCTATGGGGTCTGTCCACCCTATCCCCCTACCCTTCCTCTCTGTGTCCTTGTGGAGACTCTAGCCATGCAGGGAAAGGGTCTCTATACATGCTAGAGTGGTCAGCCTGCTTGCAAGTAGGGGGATGGAGAGGGACAGATACCGAAGTGCAAGGGCTGCCAAGGCACTGTGGGGCCTCAGCACCAGGAAACCCTGAGCATGCCTGAGGGCTAAGGTTTACAAAATAGCCTTGTCTTGATTCTACTTCAAAAGGTGACCATTTGGCTCCAGAAATACCAACGGATCTGGTGCTGCTCCAAGTGCACCAGGAAACAGGCTTCAGAATCTGATGGCCCAGGTCTGGTATCCCAGGCTTAGCCCTCCCTGTTCTGTCCCTTGCTTCTTGCTGGTGTGTCAAGTTGTCTTCATAGCACTGTTGAGGTACAAGTGACAGGTAATATGTTGCATGTTGCTAAAATGTACACCCTGTTAAGTTTGATATGTGGTGGCATTGTGAAGCTCTGTGAGCTTCACATTTGTTTTACATTGTTAACAAAGCACATTTGTTCCCAGGCTCCTGGTGCCCTTTGCAGCCCAAGTCAGCCCTCTGTGATCCACCATTTTGCTTCATGAAACAGAGATCCCACTGGCGAGCAGTGAGTGGGATTGTGGCTGATGCTCCTGGAAGGGGATGATGCTACTGAAAAGGCAGGCAGATGTGTTGGGGACGTTATGGGGGCAGGAATGACTGCTGGCGGGCAGCAGTGGTGAGGGCAGAGGAGGAAAGCACATTTGGCAGCATGCCTCCACCTGAAGAGGCCCAGACACCCTGTACGGGCCTCATCTTCTCTCAAGGGAGCCTTTCCTGGCAGTCCCCACTGCTAGATACATTAGGGGACACAAGGGCAGCTCTACCTCTGCAGTCTCTCATGTCTTCCAAGTGCCCAAGAACTTCCCAAGGGCATTTGTAGTGTTGTGACATGTCATCCAACTCACCACATCATTATTGCAGACCTCTGCTTTTTGTCAATATTGTTAATCTTCAATCCGGCTACATTGGAATGGAATTGAAGTCAAAACCACTTTGCTTCTTCATTTGCTTCTAAAGCCTGATATATAGTGGGAAGAGGTGTGTTCCACTGGGAAGCACATTGGCTTTCATATGTCCAGGCTGAACTCTGGGGACCAGTGAAGGACCTGACTTCTATCTGGCTGTGTGAGTTCAAAGTTGAGCCCAGTCCCTTCCCCCACTGCAAGCCCCATGGTCATGATAAAGACTGTCCTTCCATGCTATAGCAAGTGTCATGGGATAGCTCTTTAACAGTCTTCATCTGGTGCAAGCCATTGCTCCTGTTCCACTGAGGCACTGAATCCTTGGACCCTGCAACAAGGCCAAGAGTCCTTGCATAGGCAGCTTACCTAACACCAGCATCGTATGCTAGGCCATCTCAAGATGCAGATTGTGGAGACATGGTTTAAACCAGCAGACCTTGTCTCACCATGATGTCGACCGTAGCTGTACAGTGCAACATGACAGACCCAGCATATACTCCCTGTGGCCTTGGTGGTGAGTACCTACTGTCTGCCTTGCCACAGACAGTGACGTGCTAATATGTTTCAGCATGAGCTGAGATGTGGCCCCGCCTTGAACATACTGACCATGAATACTCACTCTGGGTTTTGTTAACCCTCCTCACCTTTATATCCAGGCAAGAGATTCTGCTCTGAGAACAGACTGATGACACCTGGAGTTAGGGAGGACTGGAACTCTGGTGCCCTAGCTGCAATGTCTTTGCTGTGATTTGGATGCATGTCTCCTAAAGGTCCACATGTAAAGACTTGGTCTCCAGGGTGGTTCCCCTGGGAGGTGTTATAGACCTTTAGAAGGTAGGGCCTCATGGGCCTCAAATGCCCTTGGGAAGTTCTTGTGCACTTGGAAGAGATGGGAGGTCCTTTGGTCACTGGGTTGTGCCCTAGTGGAAGATTGTGAGTCCCAACATCCTCCTTCCTCCTTTTTGCTTCCTAGATCATTATATGAGCAGTTAGCACTGCCGTTTACTCCCCATCACTGCTGTGGCACCCTCAGCAGACAGGCATTGGGCCTCCTGATTGTGGATTAGAATCTCTAAAACCAAGTAAGTCAAATTAATCTTTTTATTTTATAAGTTTATTTTCTCAGGTATTTTGTTATAGGGGTGGAAAGCTAACAGTCTTGACCAGTAGAGCACCCCCAAAGAGGCTATACCAGGGGAACAGTTAGAGCTTAAATTGTGAAGAAAGGTTTGTGCTATTGTTAAACTATGAAGGTACTGACATTTATGAAGAATTAAAATAATCTGAAGTTAAGGGTGCCTTTCAAACAGTGCTGCTCTCAGCCACCATATTTCATCCTGGGGAGATGGGGACAACCTGGGGCCCCTGTCATCAGGTGATGTGCTAGGACATACAAAGGTAAGTTGACCAGTACCAGCCTGGTCCTGGGATGTTTGTGGTGTTGCTGTGTGTTACAGTCTCTGTGAACCTGGTGCACAGCCTCTGCAAATTTGGGCCACAATTTGGGGAGGCTGCCTGCATCTTCTATTCTGGGCTTTGGAGGACTGATCATGGGCCACATGCATCTGTATTCAACCCACTGGCCCCATAGCCCAGGAGGCTCTGACAGTTGACCATGGGCAGTGGGAGGTACTCATATAAATCTCTGACCCTTCCAGCACTCCCTCCTGGGCCCACAGGAGTTGACCTGTTGGGGCCTACGATGGTACAGTGATTCTGTTCCCCACCCCTTGAAGACTGACCTAACCCATAATGGGAATGGGGATCTTCCAGCAGTGGCCCAAGGATGGACATCTCTCATGCCTGGCTTCTGTGGTTGATTTCTTGCTCTATCCATTCCTTTGAATGACCGTGGGGGTCACATGACTGCTCAGGTTTTGCCTTGAGATCTTCCAACTGCCAGCCTCTCTGCCCTGATATGGTCTCCCCAGAAGCCCATCAGGGCCCTGCCTCTGCCTTGCCCTGTGTCTGGTGTCCATCCTATTTTCTTTCTCCTACCTTGTCCCTTCTCCTGCAGATGCAAAGCTGGCTTGCATCAGGGCCAGGGGCTCTGCCATTCCTAACTCAAAGGCTAGAACAATTTTTGGTTGTAACCCTAATGAGCAGCATTTCAGCCTCACAATGATTCAGGAAGCCAAGGTGTTACTGAGGTCTTCAGACTCAAATGCAAATCCTGGTAACAGCCATGGTGGAGCAAGTATAATGGGAGGATCTGGGGAGGGCTCAGCAATCCTCAGGGCCAACAGATACCCCTTGCCCCAGGCCGAAGACCATGCAGAACCTGGCAATATCCACCCAGAGACACTAAAAGTCTCAAGGACAGATGGAGGACTAGACAAGCTTCCTGAAGCTGCCTCCATTTCCTGGGATACCAGAACCCAGAACAACTCAGAAGCCCTCAGGGCAGCTGCCTATGCAGAAGAATCTGCATGCAGGTCCCATTTAGGGAGCTGCTCCTTAACCCTCACCCTTTGATGAATAGGTCATTCTTCTGAGTTGACTGTCCTTCCCAGGGGCCCAGAACTGCCTTTGGCCTCCTGTATCTCTTAGAATCTCTGGGAGGCAGGCTATCGCCTCACTCCTTACTAGAAGTCCCAGGGAAATCTCAGGTACTGAAAGCCCTCACAGAGATGACTTATTCAGAGACTGTTCAGAGGGCTTCATGGAACAGTTAGTGGCCAAAGAGATGCTCTTAATCTACCTAAGCAGCTCTGGCATCTGAGTAAGCAGATATAAGATCTATCTGGAGATATAGGGCAACTTCACAGGAAAGAGAGCAGCTGCCTGTATAGCCTACAGACCTCTGGGGGCTTCCTCAGCTAGAATCACCACAGAGGAGCCTGTTCAGATCCTCCTGTGCCCTAAGGCACAGGTGAATTTCACTTTCTCTTATACTTAAGGTGATCAAACTTATCACAGCTCCCCTGTGTGGTAGAGAGGTCACCTCTGTGAGTTAGTACCTGTACAGAGAGGAGGGGGTACCTCATACTGTTTCTTTCGAGAGTGCACATGTGCGGGCACACACATTTGCACATGCATACATGCAACGACTCTCACAAACACATCCACCCCCAAACACAGGCACACACACCCTCACATACTCACAATCATGCATGTTCATATCCATAGGACCCAAGCACAACTCACAAAGACACAACACATACATACAGGCAGCATATCCACACATATATCCACGTGGGCACTCATGAAAGAAAGAAGAGACACAAAGAACGCCCAAGACAATGATAGTGGCCTGCTTTCCTAACCATGTCCTGTGCAGGCTGGCCCCACGCAGTAATTCTGTGAATCTTTGTACTCCCCAATCAGGACACACACAGGGGATATGTCACAACACTGGTGTCAAATAGATTTAGTCACAAGGCTAAATCAATATCAAAACACAATAAAGTTCAATGTTTAATGCTGAATTTTCTTTGGTTGAATGACGAGGTGCCCTGTTTATTCTTCCAGGGGCGTGGAGGGCAGAAAGGATGTGAGGGGCCACAGCTCAAGGGAGCAGCCTGGGTGGGGTCCCAGCCCCACTTGGACCACTGTTCCGTCAAGGGCAAAAAAACACACACAGGATGCTATTGACCAGCCTCACCAAGGACAAACAATGCAAAATATTGTATTTTCATCTGGACGGTCTGCATCTACAGTGAGCACACAGCATAGCGCTGGGTTCTGTGTGCATCAGCTAGGAAGCAGGTGACAAGCCTGGACAGTAACAGGAGCTTACACCACCCGGAGGTTGTTGGTTGTCTGTTGGTTGACCTGTAAGGACACATGGGGTCTGTATTGGGTGCAGCGACCTGCAGTAAGTCGCAGTGTCACAGATGAGTTTATAAGTATCAGGGCTGACAGGCTCTTTACTCAGATACTGAGCACTGGGCTCCGGATGGCACTTCCCACTGCAGCGCTGAAGAGTGTGCCCACCTTCAAGGTGCCTCAACCTGCCTCATGCTGTCCCCTCTGAGGCATGCTTTGGGAAGCTGCTGCTCCTGGTGAAACCACCTGCCCCAACAGTGGAGCACACTGACCAGTCACAGTGACACTGATCCCGATGCTGACATGAGCATCTGCAGTGAAAACCCAGGGGTTGAAGTGGATAGAAAACACTTGTGTGTGGGTTACATGTGTAAATGTGTGTCCACATGTGCATATTTGTATACACTGCAGTGTGTGCAAATTTATGTTGCACAGGTAGATACATACAGGTATTCATGTGTGTTTTGTATTCTGTGCATACATACACTCATACACATGCCTGTTCTGCAGGTGTGTGCATGTACACTTTGCAGTACATGTGCATGTACCTGTGTGTACGTGTGCACCTTTGTGGTATGCACCCTGTGTGAATGTATGTGTGTCCATGTGTGTCATATATGCATATGTGCTTATGTACATGTATGTGTGTACATGTGTGTGCATATGTGCCATGGCTGGGAGGAGAGAGGAAGGGCCATGCACAGTCCCATTGGCATGGCCTTCTGAACACAAGTGCTCCAGCCTCGGAACTCTTCCCAGGGACAGACTATGTCTTTTCACAAAAGGCTCATTGTCATCAACATCTGCCCTTTGAGTTGGGGCTTTGTACCCAGATGAAGATGAAAAAAGAAAAGTAAATTTTGTCTCTGATAACTATCACACCCTAGTCAGCTCCTCTTCTTTGTGGAACAGAGAAATGCCCATTATGGTGTAGAATCCAGTCCAATCCCAACAGTGACTGCATCTGGAAGCTGAGTCTCCATTAAGAAGTGTTTGGGCATCCACATGGGCCCCCAGGAGTATGTGGCCAGCCTTCTGAAGGCTGGAAGCCATTGGCTGCTTTCCTTGCCTATATCTCCATGGTGAGGGGACCCTATCCCCCAGCATCCAAGATGCTCTCAGGTGGTTGGGGGGTTAGGGTTAGGTGAGCTGGCAGAAGTGCCAGGGGGCAATGCTGGTGTGATAGACATAAGGAACTGGAAGGGACCTGTGGAAACTGCCCAGTGGGAGAATGCTCTTTATGATTGGCCACCAAGGATCCTGGAACAAAATGAAACATATGTGTGTGCACGTGCGCATATACACACATACACATACGCATGTGTGCATATGCACACAATGCCAGGAAACATCAGATGGGCCTCTGATGAGGTTGCCTGGATCACCACCCAGCAATACAGCATGGGTGCGTGGCCCTGCACTGGGGTGGCTTTTGATAGAATCTATTTTCTGTTCCTGGGTCACCCTGGAGATGGAATGCTACGAACAGAAATTGGGTGACTATGTAGACAGCCACATCCCACTTTGGGACTGACATTGGTAGCTGTGGCCCAAAGCATTTTCCTGCTGGAATCTTTCACAACAAAGGGCGCGTAGCTCTAAGGTGTGAGCTGCTCCTGAAAGGCTTGGTCATTTTGGGGAGCCTCTCCACCAATCTCATGTGGCAAATATGTCCCCTTTTTGCTCTGAAACTCCTCCAGGGACATGGTGGCACTGATGAGGGCGATGTATTCTTGTCCCTATTACACGGTAGTTTCATTTTTCCAGGGTCCTGTTCGGATGTTGCCTGTCCCGTCAGAGCTGAATGACAGGCCTTCTTGAACAGTACCCTTTAGCATCCCATTCTGGCTGGGGCCACCAAATGGCAGGGACTGTGTCCTCCGGAGCATCTCCAAGTGGGCAGGGCCTGGAGGCAGCCTTGGGGGGCAGCCATAGAGTGCAGGACCGGTGTCACTGCCCTCAGGTTGGCTGACCATAGGGAAAGGGTCACCTTGGGCACAGCAGGCCAGTGTATGTACCCCCATGGGGCCTTCAAGAGAGCTGGGGGGACTGTCTGTGCGTGAGCTGTGGGGGCTGCCGTCTAGGCTGGAGGGGATGTGGTAGGCATACTCATGCTCAGCTGCAGCTGCCTGGTGCTGGCTGAAGTAGTGAGGCTTAGTTCTGCCCTTGAGGCACCTGTGTAGGTTTGGGTTGAAGGCGTCCTCCTCAGGCATGTGCACGTGGGCCTCCTCCTCCATCAGCTGCTCGCAGTGCATCTTGGCACAGCATGGGGTGGCTGGTGAGAGGCAGCTGACATGGCCTTGGGCAGCCTGCAGGTTGGTCATTTTGCAGTGGCCTGTGGGTGGGTGGCCAAAGCCCCTTGGGTTGCCAGGGCCTGGTGAGTCTTGCAGGCAGGTGTGCCCCAGTATGTCTCCATTGGCATCAAGGGCAGGATGAGTGCTGGGCTTGGTGGTGGAGGTGTCCCCACGCGAAGGGCAGCAAGACCACCAGCACTGCCATACATCCTCCCGCTTGGCACAATGATGGATGAGCACAAAGAGCCCCAGAGTCACGCAGAAGGCGCCATACAGACAGCTGAAGATCATGTCCAGGAAGTGGCCCTGAGACACAGCCAATGCCCCGAAGGTCCATGTAGCTGTGAATAGGAACAGTGTGAAGGCGGCGGCTCGCAGCTGAGCCTTGAATGAGTGCTCATTCTGCAGCTGTGAGGCCAACAGGGCATCACAGGCAGTTGGGGTACTGGGCCTCATCCCATGGCAGTGGCCTCCTTCTGGTACTGCCAGCCGCTGCTGCTCTTCTGTGCGCTCTCTGAGCTCATACCTGCGCTCAGGGTGGCGCCGCAGCTGGATGTAGGTGCCAAGGAAGTACACGCAGGTGACCAGGGCGATGAAGGCGGCCGGCCCATAGAATGCACCCAGGCTGGGCTCCCAGGCCATCCAGCAGCTGCGAGGAGATGCCAGTCAGTGTGGGCCTGGTTGGGCAGACTAAGGAAGATTTCTAGTGTGTTGTACTAATTTGTGGGAAGGAAACAGATGGAAAAGGGAAGAAGCCAAAGCATCGGAGACTGGTCAGAGGAGAGGTATAAGTATTGGCTAATGGGGACAGAACTGGAGCAATCACTGGTAGCTCAGATGTCACCAGATGGAAATCTGGGGCCTGATGTCAGCCCTGCAGGCCTGGGAGGTCAAGGGAGGTGATAGGAAAGTATCCTGGACTGGAAGAAAGCAGAAGTGAGTAGAGGGGATGGGTGGGGGCTGAGAATGGAGCAGAACTGGGGAGGGCTAGGGGAAGCACTGGGGTTGAGCCTCAGGACTAGAGGTTCTGGGCCACAGGGAGAGGGTAAGTGTGGTGGTTGGAGTGTGAGGAGAGTCTGACCAGAGCTCTGAGGATGGTCAAGGGGTGAAGTGGGGTGGGTCTGTTCCTGCTCAAGGGTTGGGTGTCCATTCTCAGCTGACCTCAGGGCTGCTGCTGAATCTCTGTCCATGAGGCACTTTCTACCTAAAGAAAACCAAGCCTTTTGTGTCTAGGCAAAGAGATTTAGCAAGAAACTGTAGGGAAGAAGCAGCTCTACACACCCAGGGAAGGGGAGGGGATCCAGAGCTCTGAGTGGCCCCTTGGGCCCAGGGCCCAGGGCTTGCTGCTCCTTTCTTATCAGGGGCACCTTGGGAAAAGTTATTGACCAAAATTGACTCCCCTGGATGCCTGTGGAGACCAGCTTTCCCCCACCCAACATCTGGGTGTGAAAATAGTCAAGTCCTTCAGCAGTCCTGCCTACCCTCCCTTGTCATATGTGTGGCTAGGACTCAGTACTCACTATGCTGTGTCCTCATCTTCAATCCCATAATTACTGATGTTTGTGGCAGCCGTGACCCCACAGATGATGAAAGGAATGCCTCCACTTATGAGGTAAAACCTGTCAGAAAGAACAAAGTGTTGAATTCCTGAGAATACCTGAGTCCAACTGCTCTTTCTGCTTCCTTCGTACAAATAGACAGCTGAGGAGTCCTCAGCCAAGTAGCCCCTCTGGATAGAGAAGCACAAGCCTGATGGAGACTCAGCTGCTTGGTGGGCTGGCTGGTGCTTCTGGGAAGGATGGGCCTGTGGCAGCTCCAGTCTGCTACAGACTCAGTGAAGATCTTATAAGGTTCCTGGTGGAGGTGGGTCAGCCACAGAGGGATAGAGCGAGCATATCCCTGATGAGGACAAGTTGTTGGAGACACTGAGTGGGGTCACCTAGATCCCTTGGGCCAGGAGCTGGTGACTCAGTTTGATTCCTCCTGGATTTATTCTGAGCCAGATCCCAGGTCAAGCTCCTCCTCTAAGTTAGCTTCTCTGGGTCAGTCACTGACCAGTGACCCCAAAATCTTGGAGTAAGAATTCAGTCCTATTCAGCCCTCTGCAGATCCTGAGGCAAGTTGTTCTCCTGTGGGCCAGTGCCCTAGAAGGACAGCATTCATCCCCACCAAAGTTAAGAGGAGTTCACCAAGGGCAATCAAATGTTAGTCATACCAGCATAGAGCTTGTGTGCTTTGGGTATGGGGCTGAGAGCACACTGGTTGTGTCACCAAGGGTACCCAGTGATGGCCCCTTTGCCCAGCCATGGGTGACCTATTGAAAGGGCCACTGTGGGGCCCATTTAAGAAAAGGGGCCACCTTCTTGGGGACTACAAAACACCTGGGAAGCAGGGTGTTCTGTTCCTACAAGCACAGTAATGGGGTCTCACATTTGAAGAGTAGGAGTAGGAGGACCCCAGGGAATTCTCACCTCCTAGAATTCTGTAGCTAAGGAAATGACCTTCAAGAATGGAGGTGAAATAAAGACATTTCCTGATGAACATGTAACTGAGAATTTGTCCTCAGCCAAGCTGTGCTTTGAGAAATGTTACATGTAGTTCCCTAATCAGAGGGGTGTTGTACCTAGAGGAAGGGTCATCAGAAAGGATAGAAATGTTAATTTCTGGGTTACTGAAAAATCTTGTTTTCCCTTAATTTCTTCAAAATACTAGAAACCATCATGTTAAGTAAAATTAGACAGACTCAGAAAGCTAACAATGGCATATTTCCTCCTCTTTCATGAGAACCCAAGTAAATGAACAAATAAATGTATAAAATAAAGGAGAGATGACAGGAAACCAAAAGGTAGATTTTTGGAGAGAAGGAAAGAGATAGATGAGGAATAAGAGGAGAGGAAGTAATGGGACTGAAGAAGATCAAGATACATTACCAACTTCCCCCAAACCAACCCCACCCTTTTGTGATACTAATATACACCACTCAAAATACATGTAATTATTTAATGGGAGAATTTTAACATCACTGTGTGACATTTATAATTTATATAGGGGTGACATACAGCAGGGCACAAAAGGAAGAAGGAGGGTGGCCCTAAATGAAAGGTTCCTCTGCTTTACATGAGCTTTATACTCTAGCTTTATACTCTATGTAGCTTTATACTCTATGTAGATTTGGAGAGGCTGCACACTTTAATCCTTAAAGTCTGCAAGATAGTAATAGAAAAGAAGCTCTAGATAAAAACAAAAATATTAAAACAATACAAAAGAAGGAAGAAAAGGAGGACTGAACAAAAGCAAAACAAAACAAAAATCAAAGAGGTTAAAAATTGGAAGAAAATACTTAGCATCTTAGTGGTTGATTGTAGTCCTGTTTCACCTTAGACCAGCCTTACACTGTGTTTTGCCCTATAAAACTCCCTTGAGAATCAAAGTCCCTGACTACTCCATTGGGATCCCTTCTGTCTCTCTTAGATAGAAACTTTATTTTTCTCAATAAATATTGCTTATTATTAAGAAAAATAGAGTAAAATTCAGACTCAATTCAAGCCAAAATTCTATTAAATTTGAACAGATTAAAAGATCCAGTTCAAAGGCAGAGATTGTCAGAATGTGTGTGTGTGGGATCCAGCTAGGTGTGTTGTGTTCTACAATAGGAATACTTTAAATATGAAGAAATAGAATAGATAGAAAAAGCCATTTGCTCTTATTCATCCATGAGCCCCCAAAAGCTCATTATTACCAGATAAAGTGGGTTTTGTGGCACCAAGAAAAGGTGGCATTCTCTCATGATTGCAGTGCTTGTCAGGGTGTACCCAGGAAAGGGCTTCAAACACCTGAACCAAAGTAGACAAGATGAAAGGAGAAATACATGATGCCAGAATCATAACTGGTGACCCCATGCCTCTCTCTTAGCTAGTGATGAGACACAAAAGAAAAACACTGGAAAAGGAATAGAGATATGAAGAATAATAACTGATTTCACCTAACTGCTGTAGAACATCACATATGACATTCTTTTCAAATGTAAGTGGCTTACTCACCACGACAGATGACATGATGTGTTACAAAATGAGCCTTAAAAAATACAAGACTTAAAATCACACAGAGTATATTTTCTAACTACAACTAAATTAAACAAGAAATTAACAACAACATAACTAGGAAAAACACAAATATGTGTAGAAATAACAACAAACTTGTTAATAATTCATGGATCAAAAGAGAAATCACAAGGGAATCAGAAAGTATTTTAAGTAGAATGATTTTAAAAATACATCATACCAAAATTTCTGGGATACAGCTATAGCAGGACATATAGGGAAATCTATAGCTTTAAATGCTTGTGTTTGAAAAAAAATGGAAACATCTAAAATTTAGTGACCTAAGAATACAGTTTAACAAGATAGAAAAATACAAGATCAAAGTGGACCCAAGTAGCCAGAGGAAGCAGATGATAAAGATAACAAAATTGTGAAGGCTGATTCCTTGAAAACAAACAAACAAACAAACAGACAGACAGAAAAAAGAAGCCCCCCCCCAAGCCAAACCAAAAACTTGTAGCAAGAGTCAGTAAGAAAAAAATACAGAAGACAAATTACGAGTATTAAAAAATAGGAATCAATGTCATATATCCTACAGGTGTTAAAAATAATAAAATGGGATAATAAATAATTACATACCAGTAAACTCAGAAACTTAGATGAAATTCATAAATTCCTTGGGAAAAGTACAAATTGACAAACTTAAGCAGGAAGAATTAGTCTTGGTATCCAGTGTCTAATAAAAATTGATTCAGTATTTAGAAACATTTAATGGGCAGGTTGGCTGGTAAGTCTGACCACATACTCACAGAAGGAGTGATACCATTCTCATATAAGCTCTGAAAAGGGAGGCACCTCTTAATTTCTTTACAAGGCTAGCAAGTGTCTGATCTCAAAACCAAACATAGGCACTAAAATAAAGTTACTATACTGTCCCTTATGACCGCAGACATTAGTTCCTCTAATAAAGCATCAAGGAACGAAAGCTAGGAACTTCATGCAAAGGCCAAGCATTATGCTTTCATTGAGCTAAAAGATGCAAAGCTAGTTTGTAATTCACAGATATCAGTGAACATAGTTCAACATATGAACACAGCAAGAACACAGTCTGATCATTCAATAAGTGCAAGAAAAGGCAACATTCCTCAGTTTGTAAAATGCATTCATGGAAAACTTTATCCTAGATAACAGGTGAAGTAGATATATTTTTGTTTGCAGGTAACATGACTGATTACATGAAATATTCTGTAGAATGTACTACTATTAGCATTAAGAAGTGAATTTAGAAAAGTAGCAAGATTAATATACAAATACTAGTTTTATATTCACATATCAACAGGAAACCACTGGGAAATAAAAAAGTTTCACAATGGCATGAAAAGCATAATCACAATTGTACTCTGGGCTGATTCTCTTTTTGTAAAGGTTGAAAAATCTACTCTAAAATTTGTATGAGGATGTAACTGGCATGGAATATACAGAGCCATCTGAAGGACTCACCTCATCAGACTAAAGACTTTCTGAAAAACAACTATCAAGACAGTGTGGGCCAGGAGGAAGTACTGTCGAAAAACCAAACAGCAAAAAACAGTACCACCCGCCCTGCCAAAAAGTAGAAAAGAGTCATTTAGGAGGAGTGCAAGACAGACCCACAGACACACAGGAGTCGTCCAGAATAGACTCGAAGTCACACAGTAGGATGATTTGCTGTTAAGCCATCAAACAATATGATAAGGAAAGGGCATTCCTTTTGAAGGTGGAGGCAGGCTGGAACTTGACTCAAATCTATGCTGTATGAAAACTTGGTGTGGGTGACTCAAAGATAGACCTATAAGGAAAAGTTCAAACTCCAAAGATTTATGGGAAAAAACAGGAGAAATTATCACAGTGTGGTGATAGGGAGAGGGTTTTCCAGTGTGTCACAGAAAAAGTGTAAGTAGAAATGAAAATCTGATCAACAAAACTTGAACAAATTGGCAAATTCTGCTCATGAGAAATATTAAGAAAATGTATACACAGCTGTGGAGTGGGAAAAATAATTCCAGAAGATGGTTCTGACAAAGGAATGGCATTCCGGATGTATACAAACTCTAAAAAGAATTAAAAATTCAGTGAAAATGAGGAAAAGATTTGAGAGGTTACTGCCTCAGTTAAGATATCTAAAGGACCAATATGCACAGGAAAAAGTGCTCAAGGTTGTGAGTCACCAGGAAATGAAAAGTGAAACCACATTTTGGAGGTTTCACCTCACAGCCACAGTCACTAATGTGAAGACCAATCACTCCAGTTTTGGAAGGAGAGTGGGGCAACTGGAGTGCTCCTCACCCAGTGGATAAAAGGGTCCACTCTGAAAGCACAGACCCATCCCGTGACTCGGAGACTCAGCCACAGGAGTTTACAAGGGAGAAGTGTAAATGAGGCAGAGGATTTCGGGGCATGGCAGTCTGGCTGGCAAACAGAATGTAACCTGTCAATTGCAAAGACCAGGGACAGAGGCCAAACAACAGGATGGGACCTGTCAGTCACAGTCAGGATGCATGGGTGGAGCTGCTTCCCAGGTACCAGAGCCAAAGGGGTGT